CTATGCAAACTTGTAGAACATTGCAGGTTGTCTATAGCTAGAAAATAGAAAAAGTGAATTACAAAAGATACTTTTCTGCCAGCACATTTAAAAGCAGTAGTAATCTTAGTAGCAACAACAAAAATTACAAGAGTTTATAGAAAAAAATCATAAAAGCTTTCTGAAAGTATGAGAAAACATTTAAATCAATGTAGTGCTGTAACATACAGTGTTCATTGACAGGAAGTTCCCATGGTTACAAATGTCAGTCCTCTCTGTGTTTATCTGTAAATTCAGTGTGATTTAAATAAAAAAATCCCAGTGGATATTCTGGAAGGAATGCATAGGCTAAAATTGTGGTATCGACACAGGGCACAAATAAATGAATATACTCTTGAAACAAAGTATAGAATCCAGAAACAGGTCTACTCATTGGAACAGAGGAATGGAAGGAAGAGACCAGACAGGGGCTGAGGATGTGGCCCAGTGGTTAAGCGCCCCTGGGTTCAATCAAAGTAAAAAATAAAAAAAGAGATCAGTCAGGGAATGGTGCTGGTCATTGAACTAATGGGGATAAGTTCTATCACTCTTTCTTGTTGTCTATCAAAGTTAATACCCAGTGATTGTGAAATCCTAACTACAAAAAGCATTACTGATGTTTTTAGGAGAAAGTAAAATTTTACTATTATAAATAGTAAAATGACTTTTGTTGCAGTGGTTGCCTCCAGAAAGGGACCTTGGGTAGCAAGGAGGGGGATGAGAGAGAATTTTTACTCTGCGGTTGCCATGTCACATTGCAGTCTCATGTAGTAGTAGTATAATTTTTATATACAATATCTCATCAATATGGCAAACTCTTAGAGGATTTGATAAATGTAGGTAGTGGGTAAATGGACATTCATATTTTTCTTTCTTTTTTTAAAAATTTTTTATTTGTTTTAATTAGTTACACATGACAGCACCATGACCTTGACATATCATACTTTTGACTCAGATGGGATATGATTTCTCATTTTTCTGAGTGTACAGGTTGCAGAATCACATTGGTCATGCAGTCACGTATGTACACACAGCAATAATAATGTCTATTTCATTCTACTATCCTTCCTTTCCCCCATCCCTTCCCCTTCCCTCCCATCACTTCTCTCTACCCAAACTAAGGTGTCGCTATTCTCTTTTTTTTTCTCACATCGTCATGCGTGTATTTTGTATAACGATGAGGGTCTCCTTCCATCTTCCATGCGATTCCCCTTCTCCCTTCCTTTCCCTCCCACCTCTCTTCCCTATCTAGAGGTAATCTTCTTTCCATGCTCTTCATATTTTTCTTGCTCTTCTTTATTTTTGAACTCTTTCTGAAGTGCTTGGACCAGAAGTGTTTCAGATTTGGGATTTAAAAAAAAAATTTGGAATATTTGTTTATACATAATGAGAATTATCTTAGGGATGAGGCCCAAGTCTAAATTCATTTATGTTTCCTGCCCACCTTATTACACATGCAGCTTGAATATTATTTGTACAGTATTTTGAGTACACCTGTGTTTTGACAGAGACCATCATACGAGGTCGGGTGTGGAATTTTCCAGTTGTGGCATCATATTGTATTCAGAATTTCAGAATTTGGAGCATTTCAGATTTTTGAGTTAGAAATGCTCAACCTTTATCTTAAGGGGAAAAAAAAGGAGATAATGATTCTGATATAGCCATATCTGTTTTCCTGCCATTCTGCTTTAGTTCTGTTTCTTTCTGTTAAGTCACCTTATGTCTAGGAAAAGGATATGGAGGCTTATCCTCTTTGACCATCCCTACCTGTAGCCATGGCTTCTCCCAGCATCCAGATGTGGTCTACCACAGAGCAGCTGAGACAAGCCCCAGGGAAGAATCATTCTCTTGGGACCCTAGAGGTGCTCAGGGAGTTTCAGTCAGTGAGCATGGGTGGCCCCTGCTTCTGGGTAGTCTCCTGACTCCTTCCCTTTTAGGGCCTTCATCTGTTTGCCTTACACTCTTTTAAGCCTACTCTCTCTCGAGAGTAAGAATACCTGTTTCACAAAAGTTTCTGGAATTGACACAATAGAGATACCTTGTATTATGGATAAGCACACTTTTGACTTAATTCTTTGCCCACCTAGGCACGGCCCAGGGGAAAGCCCTGGAAGAGTTCTTACTGTGGGCCTCCTACCACAGTACAAATTTCAAAAGGGAAGCACTAGGAATGCTGGTCTTGAGAACATATTTGAGAGGCCCTATTGGCTTTATCATTTCTGGAAGTCATGCAGGATATGTGTAGCCACACCCAAGCTGACTCTCTGAGGCTGTACAGTCCTCTGCTGTGAACAGGCAGAACTGTCCACAGTGATATTACCCTAGCCTTAAATGTTTCAGTGTATTTCTAAAGACAAATAGGCTTTTCATTTTCCTGTGAAAGCTTGCTTTTCAAAAATTCTAACTCAGGAATTAGTGGTAGGGATGTAATTTCTTTTTAAAGCAACTCGTTCTGCAAAAGTTGGGAAGATACATTTGTGCTGCAATAAAAATTACATTTGTGTGTGCTGCAGAGGAAAAATATTCTCCTAAGTTTGCTTTTCTTGATTCTTAGCTCCCCACAGAGAATGTATTTTTGTATCTCATGTTTGCCTGTGTGGAGTCAGATTAAAGGCTAATTTTCCAGCCTTGGTTTTTCTGCTGGAGTTTAGAAGTTGGAGAACTTGAGGCTTCACAGAGCTGTACAGTCCTCTGCTGTGAACAGGCCCTGCTCTGTCAATGGCCATTCACTGTGTTAGGGTCTGGTGACCAGTGCCAACTGCAGCTCCAGGAGAGGCCACCTCTCAAGTACATAGTTGTTGGGAAGCCACTTAAGGTTTATGGAGCCATAGCTAGGGTGACTCAGACCCCAGTGTTGGTCTGCCTTCAGAAAGGGGTATTTTGGAGGATTTTGGTCATCTGAATAGGAATATAGTGATTAGAATTTAGGTTTTATTTTATTTTATTTTTTCATGAATGCATCCACATTGGCAGAGTTCTGAGAGGTCCTTGTGAGGACTTGGCGTCAGTTGGTAGACACCTACCAAGAAATAAGGTTGACCCACAGCATTGCAAACCTTCTTGTCCTGCCCTTCTACCCACTGAACCCATCCAGGGCTGAGCAGGTTACAAGTCCCTTTTTAATGCCAAGTTTGGGGGAGTGTGTTCCTGGAAAGGCTCATTTGTAACAGCTTACCTTGACCTTAAGAGAATGCCCTGGTGGTGCCCTGTGCTATTACTACTACAGCCAGAGGTCAGAATCCACTTGGAAACACAAATGCCATCTCATCCAGAGTTCGAAGGCCTCTAGGAGCTTACCTCAGACTTTATTTACAGAGGTGATGACCAGGGTGCAAAGCTGTGCCTTGGCCCTGTGCAACCCAGGGTTCACAGTCTGTTGGAGAAGTCAATGTTACATGCTGATGGTGTGATCACTATGAAAGTGTGCTGGGCAGCTTTTGTGAGGGAAGTATCAAAAACCCTCCTTAAGGGGCTTATCGGAAAGACAGTGAAATCCTGTGTTTGAACTGCAAGTAGAATGATTTGTCTTAGAATATGATGCTGAGACATTTAAACACTGTCCTTTGCAGTCCCTTCTTTAAATCACCCTGTTGTCACAATTTGGCTTTTGTAATTGTTGTTTAGAAATTCCCACTTGATATTTCCATCCCTACACACACTCAGGAGGTGTTGGAATCTCAACTTTTTGGAAGAGCAGTCTCAATGTCTGAGCCACCACCAGCCTAGATCCAGGTTCTGCGGTGTCTAAGAATCCTGGAGGGCAGTGTCCTCTTCTTTTCCTCTCCCTCTCTGGCCTTCCCTGTCCACTTTCCTTTTCTGTTTGCCTGTTCTGTTGTTGATCCTCTTTAAAAGGGGTTAGGTTTTTCTCTCTCTTTCCGGTTTAGTGGACTGAGAATTGATGATAGCATCAACATTAGTTAAAAGTTGAGTATCTATATACACTCCTTGGTTCCTTGGTGAAGTGGAACTAAGTTTGGGCCATCAACCAGAAAGGTCTGCACCCTGTTGCCTCTGGGCCCTCAGACTTTTGCCCATAGGCAGCAGTGAGAATGGTGGGGTGTGTTGCCTGACAGAGGCCTGTTGATACTGTCCCCTCCCTTTGTGCAGCCTGAAGATGTGAAATTCCAACCCTGGTGTCTGGTGGGCTTTCCAAGACTTCCCCTCCTACTTCCCAACTTGCAAATTATAGGCTCTCTGACTGCATGAGCTGTTGTCGGCAAAAAGACATTTTCCTTCACTAAGTTCTTGATAACTGTTTTAGGATTGTAATGCATAATTGTTTATTTTTGACCCCAGTAGTGCTAGGGGTAAAAGGGAGGCAACAAAATAGAGATGGCATGCCAGTGGCCTGCTGGCCAAAATGTACACTGCTAAAAGGCTTTGATGATTTTGAGTTTACTCACATGGTATTTTTAAAATTAGTCAATTTCACATCAAGAGAAGAAGAAGAAGAAAAGGATTTCTGCCTAATGTGAACAATTGGATCATCTCTCAACTCAGTACTCATATTTCTATGGCAGTCAGCTATGGCTGAGTGGCTAACCTACTACTTAATTTAGGCAGGGCGTTTTTCTCCACAGTCCCTACTACTCCCCACTGTCTCATATCTGGTTTTACTTGTGCTTAAGTGCATCTTTGACCCCTGCCATGGGAACATCTTGAATTGGGATCATAGCTACGACTTGATCTTAATGTCTCCCGGGCATTAAGTACTCTGTTATAGATCTGCACTTTGCAATCTGTCTATTATTTGCACCTCCCATCAATAAGAGAGACGCTCAGATCTTGGATAAAAATTGATCTCTTCTAAAAAGGGGCAGGTAAGAATGTGTGATACCAAAGATTGCCTGGGTTTGTTTCTAATCTGAATTTAGTCTGAAGAAAGAATTAGTGAAACCTTAGATTTGGTGACAGGGGTGGAGATGGAAATTGTCAAATGCTTCAGTTTCTCCAAAAAGTAATCAAATGTGTGTATTTGGCAGGTGAAAAGAAAGCCAGCCAGGATGGATATTTACGACACTCAGACCTTGGGGGTTGTGGTCTTTGGTGGGTTCATGGTTGTTTCTGCCATCGGCATCTTCCTGGTGTCAACCTTCTCCATGAAGGAGACGTCGTATGAAGAAGCCCTAGCTAACCAACGCAAAGAGATGGCAAAAACACACCACCAGAAAGTAGAGAAAAAGAAGAAGGAGAAAACAGTGGAGAAGAAAGGAAAGACCAAGAAAAAGGAAGAGAAACCTAATGGGAAGATACCTGACCACGACCTGGCCCCCAATGTGACCATCCTCCTCAAAGAATCAGTGCGTGCACCTGAAATGACTTCGGCCCTGACCCAAGTCCAGTCCCCCATCGTTGTTGCCCCTATAGCTACAGTACCAGCCATGCCCCAAGAGAAGCCAGCCTCCTCCCCTAAGGACAGAAAGAAGAAGGAGAAAAAAGTGGCCAAAGTGGAACCAGCAGTCAGTTCTGTTGTGAATTCCATTCAGGTTCTTGCCTCCAAATCTGCCATCTTGGAAGCTTCCCCTAAGGAGGTGCCTATGGTTGTTGTGCCCCCAGTTGGCGCCAAGACCAGTGTCCCTGCCCTTGCTCAAGGCAAGAAGGCAGAAGGGGTCCAGAACCAGGGCAGAAAGGGGGAGGGAACCCCAAACCAGGGCAGGAAGGCAGAGGGAGCCCCAAACCAGAGCAAGAAAGCAGAAGGATCTCCAAATCAGAACAAGAAGGTAGAGGGTGCCCAGAACCAGGGCAAGAAGATGGATGGGACCCAGAACCAGGGCAGAAAAGGGGAGGGGACCCAGAACCAGGGCAGAAAGGGGGAGGGGACCCAGAACCAGAGCAAGAAGGGGGAAGGGACCCAGAACCAGGGCAAGAAGGGGGAAGGGACCCAGAACCAGGGCAAGAAGGTAGAGGGGACCCAGAACCAGGGAAAGAAGGTAGAAGGAACCCCAAACCAAGGTAAGAAGGCAGAGGGAACTCAGAACCAGGGCAAGAAGGGGGAGGGAACTCCAAACCAAGGTAAGAAGTTGGAGGGAGCCCAGAACCAGAGCAAGAAGGGGGAGGGTGCTCAGAACCAGGGAAAGAAAGGGGACGGGGCTCAGAACCAGGGCAAGAAAGGGGAGGGGGTTCAGAACCAGAGCAAGAAAGGAGATGGGGCTCAGAACCAGGGCAAGAAAGGGGAGGGGGTTCAGAACCAGAGCAAGAAAGGAGATGGGGTTCAGAACCAGGGTAAGAAAGGGGATGGGGCCCAGAACCAGGGAAAGAAGGGAGAAGGGGACCAGAACCAGGGCAAGAAGGGGGAGGGGGACCAGAACCAGGGCAAGAAGGGGGATGGGGCCCAGAACCAGGGCAAGAAGGGGGATGGGGCCCAGAACCAGGGCAAGAAGGGGGATGGGGCCCAGAACCAGGGCAAGAAGGGGGAAGGGGCCCAGAACCAGGGGAAGAAGGGGGAAGGGACCCAGAACCAGGGCAAGAAGGGGGATGGGGCCCAGAACCAGGGCAAGAAGGGGGATGGGGCCCAGAACCAGGGGAAGAAGGGGGAAGGGACTCAGAACCAGGGCAAGAAGGGGGATGGGGCCCAGAACCAGGGTAAAATATTGGAGGGAACGCCAAACCAGGGCAAGAAGGTTGAGGGGGCCCAGAATCAGGGCAAAAAGGGAGAGGGATCCCAGAACCAGGGTAAAAAAGCAGAGGGGGCTCAGAACCAGGGCAAAAAAGTAGAGGGAACGCCAAACCAGGGCAAGAAGGGAGAGGGAGCCCAAAACCAGGGCAAGAAGGGAGAGGGGCCCCCAAACCAGGGCAAGAAAGGGGAGGGGGCCCAGAATCAGAACAAAAAGGGGGAGGGGGCTCCTAACCAAGGCAAAAAAACAGAGGGGAGCCCCAACCAGGGCAGAAAGGGAGAGGTAGCCCCTAACCAGGGCAAAAGGGCAGAAGGGACCCCTAACCAAGGCAAAAAGGCACAGGGGACCACCAACCAGGGCAAAAAACCAGATTCAGTTCCTAATCAGGGCACAAAGACAGAGAGTGTCACGAACCAGGGGAAAAAAGTTGAAGGAACCCCTAATCAAAGCAGAAAGACAGAAGGAACTCCCAACCAGGGCAAAAAGGCAGAAGGGTCTCCCAACCAGGGCAAAAAGATGGATGCAGCTGCCAATCAGGGTAAAAAGTCAGAGTCAGTTCCTGTCCAAGGTAAAAATGCAGACATGGTCCAGGGCCAGGAGGCACCAAAGCAAGAGGCTCCTGCAAAGAAGAAATCTGGTTCAAAGAAAAAAGGTGAGCCTGGTAAGTGACTCTGGTCTCTTTGTGACCTTGGAGGGAAAAGCTGTCTTTTTATGGCTTGTAGATTCCCTTGAGGAGCCATCTGTAACCGTCAGCTTTTGCCACAATAAGACCCTGTAACAAACATCCCCCAAATTTAATGGCTTACAGCAGCAGTCACTTACCCTTCTTCATACTGCTGTGAGTTGGCTGGAGGTTGGCTGGGATGTCTTGGCTTGGAGGTTCTGCTTCAAGCTGTGGTCTAACTGGGTCAGCTCCTTGCTGCAAGTTGAGCTCAGGTCTGGTCCTCATGTATTAATTCTGAGGCCTGGGCTGGGGATTCAGTGGCTCTCCAGGGTAAAGGGACAAAAGGGCATTTCAAGTAGAAACATATCTATCCTGGGATCATTGGCCAGGGAAAATCATGTGACTGAGCCTGAATCAAGGGGCAGGGAGTCCGCTCTGTCTCCAGTGAGAAGGACTGCAAAGTGATTATTGGATAGGGGATTTGAAGAATGAGGAATAGTCTACATAGGACTGTGTCTTGACAAGTCTGTCTTAAATATCCGACTGTATTCTGTCAGACTGTTCTTTGTTCTTATTTCACCTGATGCTTTTGTATAGCTTTATGCATTTATATATATTTGTTGGGTTAATAGCAGTAGAGTAATGTTCTTAAGGTGCAGTCACATTCTTCCATATTGCTCCAACTTTCCTCTCTTCCCTGCTCCTACCCTAGTTATGTAATGGAAGTTTTATGGAACATTAATGTAGGAATTGTTTCATATAGACAGATATTAGATCATGTAGAACATTATTTTGCCTTTACCTGTGTAGTGCATACTAGTAGAGAAATTGGACCAGAGTGCATCACTCATTTGATTTCACTTTGTCTCCTCCTCCTCCTCCCCCTCCACTTCTTTCCTCCTCCTGTGTTTGAATAGCCATTGACTGATTGGAAAATTAATTCTGTTTGTCTTAAGGAAAGTTATCTTAGGGCATTTGAATGTGTGAACCTGTGTCATGTAGCATAGGGCCCTCTTGTTTTTAAAAAGTTGAATTTTCCTATTTTGCTCCTCTGTTGAACTTTGTTCCCTTTCTCAGGTCTCCCCCAACTCCAGTTTCTGATGGGACATTTCCTCGGAGTATATGAGGAAACTCATCCCACATGACTGGCTCTGGGACCTGCTCGGCATCAAGAGGCCCACCTGGGTCAGGTTGGCCTTTTAAGACCTTGACACTGAGGAACTGGGCTTTAGCTTACTTCCAAAGGCTGGAGAGTAGCATACTGCCCTTTCTTTAACATGATGTTTGTTCCACTGCACCCGCAGATAGGGATAGAGCTGAGAACTAGCTGGCATCAGATTTTCCCGCATGGAGTTGTTTAGTGCTTCCTGTGCCCCGTGGTCATTATTAGGACTGGGATTATATGACTCAGTGATAGAGCACTTGGGAGCATGTACTGGGCCCTGGGTTTATCCTCACCCTGCAAAAACAACAACATGGTCATTGTTACCTTGGATGGTTTTAGATGTTTGAAATAAGATGTGAAACAGAAATGTGGTGGTGATAATAATATTGGAAGGGAAGTTGAAATTACCCTAATTTGCCAAGTAATAAAGAACCTTGTAAGGAATGAGACTTATGTGTGATCTGTCTAAATCTATGCAACAGCTTGATTGAGGTGAAAAGAAAATTTGAACCAGGAAAATAACTACTATGATCCTGATAAGAAAGATTAAATATTATAGATAAAATGGTAGTTATTTCAAGTTAACTTATGGTCTCCTGTTAAGCTTTCAATGAGCTATCCCCCTCTAACTTGACAAAAGTTGTAAAAGCTCCATCTGAGGGGAAAAAGGTAAGAAGAGTGAATAGATTTTTTAAAAAAGCATTAGGCCTGTCCTGTCTGCTATGGGAACATTTCTCCCAAATATTGTGACTATAAGTAGAGAAGTAGAATGGTCCAGAAATCAACTTTGTCACCCCTGAGAACATACATGAGGGATGCATCAGACTTTAGTAGGAAAGAAAAATGTTCAGTGAATGATTTTGAACACCATGTTCATAAAAACTTACTTACTCCCCCCTTAAACTTACCCTTTCTAAAACTTTAAAGTTTAGATAAAATATATTTAATTTTAAAAGAAATTAATATTGATCTGCCCAGATGGTGGAAGACAGTCCAGGGTTGTAATGAGAGGTGGGTGTGGGGGAACTTGACTACACAGATGGCCAGGAGGGATTGTCAGGACCAACAGGAAAAGACAAAGGGGGAAATGGGCAACCGGTGTGACACTGGAAAGGCAAGGCAGATTTCTTTTTTCTTCAGAGTCTAGAAACATGGGAAAGTACTTTTTTGTATTTTTCATTTTTCTGAATTTGCACTGTGCATTTGCTGCTATTTTCTCATGGTTGGTGGATGCAGGCCATCCCCCCCCCCCCGCAGCCCTCCCCCCCCAAAAAAAAATATCCTTGAAGGTCCTGAATGTTTCTCCTCCTGCAGTTCTTCTCAAATTTGATATGCAGACCATCCCCTGGGGATCTTGTTAAGATAAAGATGTGCCTTAGCTGGGGGAGTGCTTGGGGTGGGCCTTCGATGCTGTACTCTTTACCAGTTCCCAGGAGATGCTTCTTACCCCAGGCCTACATGCAGGCTAGGAGGGACCTTTTCATATATCAGACAGTTTTGAAAATTCACAGTATTCAAATAAAATAAACTTTATTTAAAATGATTACTTCAAGCAAGAAAACATGGCTGTGGTTAAAAAGATTGTGGCATTGTGAATTGTATGACCCTTTTGAAAAGCAATTTAGCAAAATATATCAAGAGCTTTTGGAGGGGCTTGTAGTTTTCTTCTACTCCTGAGACTCTCCTCTGAGCAAAAAGTGTAAGCTATGGTAGAGAGGGTTTGTGGTTAATGGCCCTGACTGCCTGGGGACTCAGTACATTCATTCTGCTGCCCCCCCCCCCCCCACACACACACAGCAGCCACCAACAGTGATGGGTGTGAATATTCTACCGTGACATGCAGAAACTTTACAGCATGATTTTCATTTGAAAAAAGTAGGATACCAGATTTTTTTAGACAACATAACAATAGAAAACAAAGACATTAGATGAGTGATACTGATAAAAAAAATAAGGAAATGTATAGTCTTCCCTCCATGACTAAGGGGATTGATTCCAAGACTATCCCCTGTGTATTTCAGACTCTGGATGTTTAAGACCTTTATATAAAATGACTTAGAATTTGCATTGTCCTGTATACTTTCTTATTATTTTGTTTTTATGGTGCTAGTGCCTCATGTATGCTAGGCAAGGGTTGTACCACTGAGCTGTACCCCCAGCTTTCCCCCAATACTTTAAATCATTTCTAGATTACTTAAACCTAATACAGTATAAATGCTATGTAAATAATTGGTTGAATTCGTGAATGAGGAACCTGTGGATTCAGAGTACTGACTTTCCACATTGAGAAGTCCAGTTGTCTTCTGATTTTTTTTTTTTTTTTGCAATGTAATAATATTTTATTCTTCAGAGAAGTCAGAAAGTAGTAACCTTGAAGAAGGATCTTGTGGCTGTGAGAGTGCCCCCTGAAGTTGAAAACACTTGTGTGGAAGGCCTTTGACAATTTTCTGTGCAAGGCCACATGGGACAGAAATTCTAATGAGCTGTTGTAGTAGATAATTTCCTATTAAAATCCTTCTTATTTAATGACCTTTTAAATTATTTTAGGGGCATAAAATTGGGTCTTGATATATTCTCTTAAATTCTCTGTTCATCATTCCAAAAGAACAAAAACAAAAAACACAACTCCAGCAATAATGACACTTCCAGATGTGAAAACAATCCAGAGATAACTGGATGTCAGAGGCAGGTGGAACTGCTTTTCTTGCATCCGGTAAACCCTCTAGATATAGCTTAGCATGTCAGGCCTCTGCAGTGGATTTGTCTTAGTAGTTGTGGTGAAATGCAGAGAAGGACCCTTGAGTAGGAGTCATAGAAGATGACCCAAGAGGGTGAAAGTCATTCATATCATGACTTTCAGGGGGAACTGTAGGCAGAACTCCTGGTGGGCTGATTGGCCCTGGGTGTTCAGAATTTCAGGCAGGACAGGGTGAAGTGGCCTGGTGACCATGCTTCTGGGATCAGGGAGATGAATGGGCATTGGGTTCTGGATTACTGGTGTGGAGCAGACTGGGAAGGGAGCTCTTCTCACGTATCTAGGACACCTTTACTTGGGCAGGTAAAGGATCCAGGGATCCTTTAACAGTTTACAACAGAGTGTGAAGGTCTAGATCTGTTCTATCCACTGTGAGAGCTACTAGTCACACAGGCCATTCAAATTGTCATTTAAATCAGTCAAAAGTAAATAAAATTAAGGATTCAATTCCTTAGTGGCACTAGCCACACCCTAAGTGCTCAGTAGTCAGGCAGGCGTGGCCAGTGGCTCCCCTTTTAGTGCAAAGAAAGAACATCTCCATCAGACAGAAAGTCTGGTTAGACAGCCCTGCTGTGAAACAAGAGCTATTTGGAGGGAGATGGCCTTTTGGGTCACCTTCAGGTGGCCCTGTGAAGACAGAAATGTCTTTGCCAGCCCTATGTTGGAATCATACATGGCTCCTTTCCTGCTTGATTTGGGCTGTCTGTTGTCCTCTGCATCACAGTGGGTGCTATGAGTGAGGTCCCAGTGCAGAACTAGCACTGGAGCTGCTGAGGTCTATCAGAAACTGGTGTTGCTTTCTTGGTCTTATCTAGCACCTGGTAAGTGGGGGGCTCTTGCTGACAGGTGCCCCAGAAGAGACCTGGCAGGTGTGGAGGCAGACATAGGGCATGATTCTGCAGGCCTAAGTTGGAACTCTTCCAGAACGTCTGTTCTGATTTTCCTACAAGAGCAGACTGGGGCCATGTGACAGGTTTTTACCACTTGTCCATGGCTGTAATTTGACAGTGAACACCTGCCTTCCTAATCCTTGCTTCTTAAAATTTATTATTACATAAATGTTTCCAGAAAACAGGA